CGTCAAAGGGAGGCCCTAAGCTATGGACTAACAAGCTTCTCAAGCAACATGCCATTAAACCCATTTCAGAATCTCATTTCCATTGTCACTATGAAAATGCAAGCCATACAATCATGAGAAATTATAATCTAAGACAAGACAATAGCTTCAACATAATCATTTATAAAGATTAAGCTTCATTACATCAAGATGAGTTTTCTAGATTGTAAAACTACTACATATACATTTCATTCCCCAAATTAAAATCAAAATTAGAGCATGCTAACAAGATAAAGCTTCATCACCTCCCTAAAAAGGGAGTTAGTTACCCATAGGAATAAGGAATGAAGGAGTTGAGATGCTCATCCTCTCCATTTTCTGACTTAGAGACCACCCACAACCCAAGCTCTCAAAACAAATATTTCTCTCTCTAGAAAATGTCTTACAATGTGAGATATGATTATTACATTGTATCAAGCCTCTAATAAGCAACCAAAGCCATCCAATAACTCCATTTTCATGGTCCAAAATCACTAGAGAAGTGTAGAGCAATCCCCACAATTAAGGGGATAACATTAGGTGAAATAAAAAGGGTCATGCTTTCTTGTTTGCAGAACGGCGGGTGCTAATAGCGTAGGGTGGGAGCCCTCGCGGTGTCAAGGGAGCTCGAGGTCGGCACTTGGCGAGGGCCCACGAGGCGTGCTGGGGCCCAACATTTTTGCAATGATTCTGCCTACTTTGGCGGGCACCCGCAGTGATCTTGAAGACTTCTTTGCTTCTTGAATCACTTCCTTGAATTAGCCTTAGCTCTGCCCGCTGGCACGTTCATCGTTCTTACCACTTTTTGCAGGGATAACCATGAGTTCAATGGATCACTTGCTTGGCCAAAATGAAGGTCCCTGGCAACGGCATGCTTTGATTCTTAAAGAATTCAACAAAGCCTTACTTTTAACTATCTTTAGGGCACCAACCTGAAAGTAAACAAAAATATACAAATGAAGCTAATATATATAAAATATAATCAACTAACGGACTTAACTAATGCAAATAAGGGCGCTTGAATATGCAATATTCGGCGCTTATCATTCTCCAAGATATGTGATATGGGTTTCTAAGTTATGTTGAGATATGAAAATGATGATGTATATGGTGTAAATATGGCTCAAAATCCTTATATAGGAAGCTCAATTGTCACACCCAATGGTTAAGTCTCGTGCATTAGGGTCCCTGCAATGATTGCACAACGAGCCATCTTTTAATGAGCTGGACTCTGTTTTATTTTAGACTTGAGGAGGTTTGATCGATCGAATTCAAATGAGATCAATCGAATTGTGGCCAGATCCATCGAATTAAGGCCAGATTGATCAATCCTTAGTGGCGTCTTTTTGGAATAAGATAAATTTGAGATATTTTTGGAATATTTTTGGAAAAAGACAAAAGTGGTAGGTGGGGATAAGATCAAGGAAGGTTAATCGATCTGAAGAAAGTTGGATCGATCGAAAATGGAATTTCTTGAGGATAAGGACGAGAGGTCTGATCCATCTTGGTGAGGTGAGATCAATTAATGTGAGATCGATCGAAAATATTCCTAATCGAATGAAGTTTGCTGATTTCCACCACTTTGCTTCCACTTTGCTCCATTCTTTCATTCAGTTTGAGATTGCTTCTTTTATACTCTAATTTGGCTGAATTGACTTATTTTGGGGATAAGCGCCTAAAAAGGGCAATAACATGAAATTAGTCTAAAATGGGAAAGTAAGATAGATAAAGGTTCTAGAATACTCGAGCTTAAGGGGTTTAAATGCGCACTTTTCAGCGCTCATCTCACCCCCAAACTTAAATATTGCTAGTCCCTAACAATGAACTACAAAGTAAAGGAATGAAATGAACAACTATACAACTATGAACTAGAAAGCAATAAATGGATAACGCCATTTTCGTAGGGAACACGATTGCATTTAGCATATGCAACAAGCCTTTTAAACCCCTAGGTTACCCCTAATGGATGAGTGAAGTCTCGTGAGGGTTTCCAAAAATGATACCCATAAACATTAAGTTCATTCTCACAAAAGAGGCACCAATATTGCAAACAAGCATTGGGAGAAAACTACCTCAAGTTTGCAATTTGTCAATCATTTTCAAGCAATTTCCCAAAATCTCAACATCAAATAAGCAAGTATGGTCCTCCACACATGAAGAAAATGATCATGCAAATCAAAACAACTCTAAAATCCTTTTTGTGTGGACCGGCATCAAGTATGTTGCTATCTTAGCCAACTAAAGAAATGATCACATTCTTACCCTCAAACTAGCACACAAATCTAGTACCGATCATCATGACAAAGAGTGGACATTTTATTAAAGCTTTATTCAACTAAGTGCGCTTATTCTTTTCACTCGAATTTTTATTTTATTTTATTTTATTTATTTATTTACTATCCTAGAGGATCAAAGATGGAAGCATAGTGCAATGTAGTGATCTATTAAGCTTTCTAGCGATCCATGAGCTCGAGCGTTAGGTCAATAACTCCCAAACCAGATGACTTTAGGGCATTAGGTGTTCAAACACCCCTAAGGACTTACAAGCTAAAATCAACTAGGCTACAAATCAAAACAACCTCCATCTAATCATTTCCCACTTCTCACCTTTTAGGAGAAGTCCTTATTTTTTTTATTTGCTTTTGCAATTTTTTTTTCAACATTCAATTATTAACCTAGAGTTTGGGCCCTCCACCTTTCGGTGCGAGAAATTCAGTGCTTGATTAGGCTAGAATCCTGGCTACTCAATGAAATGGGTTTGTTATCCACCTTTATCAAGAATGAAAGCTTTCAATGCACTACTAGCCCAATTGGGATATAACCAATTCAATAATTAACAAAACATGTACCCCACAAATGAATGCTAGTGTGCGCCAGTGCTAGTGTAGAATCCTAGAGTGAATCTCAAAATAATCACAAATTCAGGATGATGTAGACCACAAATGCAAGCAAGATATCAATTTTTCAAAAAATTTACTCCTAAATGGCATCCACAAAGCATACAAGGAGTATTGGACTCTCAAGTCAAATAATTTTTAAATTTTAAGCAATATAGTCCTCAAAAGATTAAAATCATAGCTAGTCATGGACCAATCATAGAAAATTCCTCAAATACACAAGTCATGCTCAAAATTTTGAATTGAAAGCAAACACTGCAAATAACACCCATTACCCCCAAACTTAAACCGCACAGTGTCTCAATGTGTAAAAACAACAAAGGAAAGAGTATACCAGTGCAGCTATAGCAAGAATGGCTGGGACATAAGTATTTAAAGTGGGTGGTATAACCCCCCAAACTTGGAATTGACTGTGGTCTTGAAAAGATGGCACTGGGAGAAAAGCTGATCAGATAACAAAGGGGATAATAACAGTGCATAGTGGACATGCAAGTGTAAATGGGATAATAAATGAAATAAGGAGAGAGGAAAAAGGATGGTCCTGAAAAATTTTGGGCAGTACTTTTTCACTGAAGCTACTGGATGGTACCTGATAATGGAGTCAATCGTAGATAGATGTATCAATATAAGAATCTGACATCCAAAAATATCGTGCATACAATATAGAAAATAAAAATAGTATAAAATACATTACAGTATCAGGGCCAACAGACTAGCCACAAAAATATCATAACAGTATAAAAAATAGCAGGTATCACAGATATATATAAAAAGATGAAAGAAAGGTATGGAGATCAGGCAGAGGAAGTAGGGCGAGCGGGGCGTGATCCCCGGATATCTCTGGATAAATCCTGCAGCGCAGCCAAGACATTTGAGCGGAGAGTAGTCACGTCAGTGCTGAGGGAGGCCACATCTGATTGAAGAGAGACAACTGCGTCCTCCAAAGTCTGTATACGCTCTCCTAGGCCATGTGTCGGAACTGGAGCGTCAGGGATAATTGGATCGTGAAACTGAGGTATATCCTGACCCTACTCCTGAGAGTGCAATGGTGACCCTGCTAAAGAGTGATGTGGTGACTTCTCTGGAGGGTCTCACTCTAGATCGATATCCATATGTGCGTCCGCAGCCACCGGTGGGTCTACTGGATTATCTACTACTACTGCCTGCTCTGCCATCTTTGCCTCTGTAGCCTCCTTTGCTACTAAAATGGCCTCCTCCTCTAAGCTCTTGATAAGAGCATTATAGCTCTTATTCCAATCCTTCTTGCCATAGTGGCAAGCCCCTGACTCAGTCTGCTCTGCTGGACGGAAAGGGTAGTGTTGATCTCGGAGGATTTGAGTAATGAGATGTCCGAAGAGGAGGAAAGTGGCTCGACCAGTCTTGGCATTGTTGATATAGCTTGCATATAATCTCATCATGACACTCCAGTAGAGTGCCGGAACGGAGAACCAATGGCTTGTATATAAGGCGTAGAGGACTGCACAAAAGTCTAGACGCCTCTGGATCTTATGGCCCGCCATAAATATATTTTGGTATAAGAACGAATCAAAGAACCATAAATCATCAGCAGATAAGTCCGAGTGGCGAATGTCTCACCATCACTGTAATGGCCAGTCAGTGCAATGGCCATATCTGCATCAGATGGTTGCCTGAGAATAGGATAATGAAGGCCGGGAGGGCAAACATGTGGGCATCGGGAAGATGTGGCCAATGACTTAACAGTAATGCGGATGAGATGGCCATCAATAGTAGTCCGCAGCTCCGATAGGTTACTCGGGGCCGGCCAGAGGTTCTGGTAGAACAACCGGACAAGCTTCGGGTAAACCGGGTATGTGGCTGGAGCAAAAATGGCTGAAATACCCCGTCGATCAATATTATAAAAGGCCACCCAGGTTAGAATCGACTGGGAAAAGAAGGCAATGTAGAAGATTGACTCATGCCCCACTGAAAAGTGTGAGTATCTCTAGGTAAGTTTGTCTCGGACTTGGCCTGGCAGTGCTGGTGATGGTGAAGGAGGTGTTACATGCTCAGCCTCATCTGAAGAAGATGATGCGGAAGCAGAAGACTGTAGTCTAGTATCGGCTAATGAGGACTGAGTTGGAGCTGGCTCTGGAGCTGGGTCCTGAGCATGGGAAGGCTCTACGGGCTCTTCTGTACACTGTCGCACTTAGTGCACATACTGCCGGTTAGCCAAATTCTTGACTCGGGCCATGGTTTGCAAAAGAAGGAAATCACTTGCAAATGGAGTCAGTATAGGAATAAAGAATTGAAGTACAATATATAAAAATAGGTATGTGAAGTAGAATAGACAACTCAGAATGAATCAACATGAATCTATGCAAGTGGTAATGCAGCCAGGTATAGACAATGAATAAGTAAAATATGCTAAATATGACAAAATAAAATACACCCAATGTGGAAAACACAGGTATTGGGCAAATATAAGATAGCATGGAACACAAAAGATGGTATGTGAAGTGGATATGCAAATCTGTGATGTTCGATCGATCATGAAAAGATGAGATCGATCTAAGTTGGATCGATCAGGAATTGAATGAGATCGATCTTTCTCTGATCGATCAGAGAAAAATGTGATTGATCGAACTCTACAAAAATACAAAAAGTCACAAATCTGTGACGTGGACAACACGGGAGGCACCCAACCAAGCTTGTGGGTCCCTCTACACTTCAACATATCAAGATTAGTCACTTATATAGGCACGTGACCTCCAAAATTGAAATCGGGCAAAATATATACATAGATATATATATATATATATATATATATATATATATATATCTATGTATATATTTTGCCCGATTTCAATTTTATATGCTTCAAAGATCAAAAACGACGACAATGGAACATGGCAACCCTAGATTTAAACATGGCATCATCAAGAACATATAGATTGAAGCTCAAAAATGGAAATAAAACTCAAAACTTACCAAAACCCAACGAGAGAAGTGGAAACCGAGAGAGAGAAAGAAGATCTGAAGCAAAGAAGAATTTAGAAGCTTGGGATGGTCGCCGGAGGTTCGCTGGAGGTGGGAGAGATGATGGGCAGCGGTGAAAGAAGCTAGGGTCTGAGATTGATCTTTGAAATCGATCCAAATGACCTTTGGCTTCTATTTTTAAAAATTGTTTCTGACGAGTTTGATCGATCACTAAGAAATCAAATCAATTGAACAAAGATCGATCTGAAAAGGACTCAGATCGATCTAACCTCGCAAAACGACAAGTATTTTTTTGAAAATTTTTGAATTGAATTTTTTTTTGAAAATAAAACAAATTTCAAAATTAAAAATATTTTTTGAGTTTTTTTGGAAATTAAAACAAAATGTTTTTGGAATTTTTTTTTATTGGAAATAAAAATAAAAATAAAAATAAAATAAAATGAAAGTAAAAATAAAATAAAATAAAATTCTTTTTTTGGATTTTTTTGAAAATACAATGGAATAAAAATAAAAATAAATTTTTTTTAGATTTTTGAATGTATATATATATATATATTACAAAAATAATTAAATTAAATTAAAAACAAAATTCAAAAAGAAGTCAAAGTCAACAGGAAGCAATGAGATCGTTCGAATATAGATCGATCAAAGTTCGATCAATCCAACAGGTGAAAACCTGCAGATAAGTTCGATCGATGCACAAAGAGGTGATTTTTCATGGGTTCAAAATTTTTTCTAAGTATGGAATGAAGATTGATCCGAGGAAAATCTCGATCGATCAGGGACCACTCAGATTGATTGGAAATGAAGTTCGCATGATACACAGAGAGCTGAAATATGTAGGAAAATTACGCACGATGGGACAAAGAGATGATTGGATGCAGGGTTGGTAGTTCGATCGATCGAACCTTTTTCAAGATCGATCGAACAGACATAAAATGCTTAATTTGAAAATGACAATGCATACATTCTCAACCAAAGTCCCTAGCAATGTGTATGAACCCAGAATATATCTAGATGACGCAAGAAATGAAAGGTAAAATAGAAATATGGGAGGAATAAGGTTGTAAATCTTACGAAACACTAGTGTTTAATATCTCTAACAAGACATTAGGCTCTTTTAGTCTGGATCAAAAATCTTATTATGCATCGCTTCCTTGACGGGGTAAATGGCACTTTGAATCCCACCCAACAAATTGTTCCCCAAGGAACTTGTAGGATTTGAATCAAAGGAGATTGACGGTCCTTTGTCCATGCTTTTCTTGGGCTTCCATGCCCTTTCAACACTAGCTTTGCACACATTTCTCTTTGAGCTCTTTTTGGTAAGTAAACCATGGGAATGTTCGACATCAAGCAAAGACTCAACTTTATCAAGTTCATTTTCAACACATTTCTCAACAACACACACTTCTTCATGCTTATCCATTGAATTCGGGGTTGGATTAAAAATGTTCAACTTTATTTTCATATGCCCAAATGATATTTTCATTATCCCTATCCTTCAATTTATGTTGGCATTTGCGGTTGCCAAGAAATGACGGCCAAGGATAACGGGAATTTGATTTTTGGGATTTGGGACTGGTTCCATGTCAATGACAACGAAATTAATGGGGAAGAAGAACTTATCAATCTTAATCAAAACATCCTCAATGATACTCTGGGCTTTTTGATAGCGGCAAGTTGCAAAACCACCGACGTCGGTTTCAAGTCTTCTAAGCCCAATTTAACATATACCGAGTATGGAAGAAGGTTTACACTTGCTCTTAAGTCTAGAAGAGCCCGATTAATGACCTGGTCACCAATGATACAAGAAGTAATAGGTGAACCTGGGTCCTTAAACTTTAGGAGAGTGTTGTGTTGCAAGACGGAGCTTACTTGCTCGGTCAAGACCACTTTCTTTGGTGCTTGGCTTTTGTTCTTCCTCTTTTGGGGGCAAAGATCTTCTAAGAACTTGGCATAAGCCGAATTTTTTTTAATTACATCCAAAAGTGAAAAATTGATCTTCACTTGCCTAAATACTTCGATGATTTCATTTACTTTGGTCTTTTGGTTTTCACGAGAAATTGACCGTTTCAAGGCATCCGGAAATGGAGCTTTAGGCTCAAAAGTTTTTTCAAAATCTTTCTTTGGATCACTTTCAACATGAGAAGTTTTCAAATCATTTTTCAATTCATTGTTCAATTCATCTTTCAAATCATTTTTCACAACTTTCTCAACAAGATGATCATGCACATGCAATGAAGGAGGAATAAAATATGAAACGGGACGGGTTTTAACTTTTGGTTGCACCGGTTCACTCTCTTCATTGGAAACACCAATTTGATTGTCCATAATTTTCCCACTTCTTAAGGTCGTCACCGCATTAACATGTTTAATTGTGTGACCTTCATTGGTTTCTACAACGAGTTGTTGCTTTGGTGGGGCACTTAGAGGTGTTGTCCCTTTCTCTCTAGTATTTAAGGTACTAGCTATTTGCCTGACTAGGGTTTCTAGCTTAGCAATGGATTGAGAATGTGAATGAAGCAATTGAGTGTTTGCCTTTAGAGTTCCCAAAGCGATCAACACTTTTTCCTCAAAAGCGAGACTCCTATAATTTCCTTGGGAATAAGATGATTGATTAGGAAAATGAGAATTAGAAAATTGGGTTCCATGTGATGATCGAAATGAAGATCTATAACCTTGGGAACCTTGGCTTTGCATTGGAGGCGGAACATACTTTCCTTGAAAACCACCTTGGGGAGGGTTTGAGCCTTCCCCTTGGCTTTTCCAAGAGAAGTTTGGATGGTTCCTCCATCTAGGATTGTAATGTGGGCCATACGGATTATTCCCTTGGTTAACAAATGCAGTATTAACTTGTTCATGATGTTCACTTAGCACATATGCATGGGGACAATTGGAAGTAGTATGTAAGACACTAGAACAAGTCATACAAGATTCATTAGATGCATGATGATGAACATGATTAGGGGAGGAAGACACTTGATTTGCCGAATTGTGGTTGACCAAAAATTAATCAAACCTTTGAGTTAAGGCTTTCACCTCGGCAGCAATGTCATTCGAATTGTCAACTTGATATAGGCCGACATTCTTCCTTCCACTTAGAATTCTACTATTTTTAGATGACAAAGATCTATGCATGGAATTTTCACTCACACTTTCATACAATTGCCAAAAATCATTCTCATGTCTATTAAGGTAAGAACCACCCATAAATGCATCTACTATTCCTTTTTGATTATCCGACAAATTTTCGAAGAAGTATTAGACTAATTGCCACTTAGGAATGTCATGATGTGGACATTTCCTAAGCAAATCATTAAATCTTTCCTATGCCTCATGAAACAATTCCCCTTCCCCTTGAGAAAATTCACGAATGGAAGTTCTCATAGCATTGGTCTTTGATATCGGATAGTATTTCTTCAAGAACTCTTGTTGCATTTCTACCCAAGAAGTTATCGAAAAAGGCCTAAGATTGTTGAACCAATATTTTTTTTTGTCCTTAAGGGTAAAAGGAAAAAGTTTGAGTCTTAACACTTCTTCTGGCATGTTCGTGAATTTCACGGTGGAACACACTTCAATAAACTCATCCAAATGCTTGTAAGGTTCTTCACTTGGAAGTCCATGATAGTTAGGAAGCATTTGAATGGTTTGCGGTTTAATCTCATAGTGATGTGCTCTAAATGGGGGCAATTGAATGCATGTCGGTGCATTATATTCATTTGGAACATAATGATCACGCAAAGTAATGGGAGGATTCCCAACTGGTGGTGCTAAACGAACACCGCGATTAACTTGAACCATGGGAAGTTGTGGAGCAAAAATTGGCCGAGGCATTCCCAATGGAATTTGGCCTTCTTATTATGGTAGGATGAATGGTCTAGGCATGCCTAATGGTACTTGGATGTTGTCATGATGCACATTAGGGTGGAATATGCCTTGTTGGTCTATATGACTAAGGATGTTGCTCCTCCATTGATGAAATGGAGTGATGAGAACTACCTCTTCCCCTAGGATTACGAACTACCGATTCAAGATAGAAATCAAGTGGGATAAGGGTAGGATTTAATGACCTACGACCAATGTATGCACTAACAAAACAAATAGCAATCAAATAGCAATCACTTCGCCCCCTCAACAAATCTCCACATACAATGATCCCATATTCCCATGCTTGAACAATATGCAAAGAAAAGTA